TTGTTTTATAATCTTTGTCTGTCAATATTGGATACTTTCGTCAATCTCTTTCTGTTGTAGTTTGGTCTCCCGGGTCTTGCGCTGTCACCCATTCTCAGAGCACCACATGCAGCAGGGAACGCTTTTGCTTGGCACTTGTGCCTGGTCTTTGTTTGACTCCGCTCATCTCCAAAGCCGGCACTGAGCTCGCTCTTCCTGAAACAGCACTTCATTGCGAGTCTCCAGTCCTCCCACCCCAATCAGAAACATTTAGTGAGATTTGAATTTGGCTTACATCAATTCAAATGACTCTTTCTGTAATACTTTGCTGTATTTTCTGTGCCTCAGGACTCAACTCCATTTGTTTATCCTTACGTTTTGTGCAATTGATACAGATCAAATAGCATGCTTCCGTGTTTAGGGTGTGTCTCTGCCTTCGCTCCAGCAACACAGCCAGTGTAAGCTATGTGTCTGTGCATGCCTGATGCACTGTATGCATGGACACATGATGTGCCTGGTGCACCTCCACATTCTGGAGCCGTCACTGAATGCTGCAGATACGCTCCTCTCCCTGAGATCTCCCCACCGAGTGCTACACAGGTACATTCCTCTCCCTGAGCTGCCTCCACTTTAGCTCAGGCCCTTCGTTTTCCATACCCCTCTAGCTCTTGAGACCAGTGATCATTTCCTCTTATTGATGACGACCTACTCCACCGTAATTCTCAGTCACCTACCTTTATGTGTCATTTCTAGTCTTCGCGATGACCATGACCCTCTACAGATGCTATTACTGAGGCCCAGAAAGATCAAGTATGTCATTGGTCTAAGATGGTTTGAAAATTAGGAATCCGTACAGGTAAAACAGTTACCTGAGCTTCCTTCCTATGGAGCATGGAAGGAAGTGGCTGTGGTACTTGGGAGGCTGAACTAGCGGGAGTTCGTGATGGTCTGGATGCAGGCACTGGAAGGAGAAGGGAACTGGATCACTCCCAGTGGGTGACTGCAGTGAGGTGGCCGTGCCAGTCGTTGTGACGTAGAAACACCCCACAGTGAGGAAGAAACACCCCACAGTGAGGAAGAGTATCTGTGCGTGTTTTGTTTTGTTTGGTCCATAAGGAGAGGACATGGGAATGTTAACACCATTGTGTATATATTTCAGGGTATTTGTGATGAACCTGTGATATCTCATAGGAAATAGAATAGGTATCAGTCTGAAGCCCAAGGCGAGGTCTAAACTAGGCCTAGACATTTGAGTCTTGTCTCCACCGTGGATCACGTTGGACAGATTCACCCAGTGCAAATGATCGGGTGCCAGCCCCTGCACCCCTGCTGTGTCATGAAATATTTAAAGGTATCACAGACAGTGACAAAGGTTGGGAAAAATTCAGATCAAATGTCCTTTGTGTCCTTTCAGCTTTATGATTTATAGGAAAAGATTTTAATTACTTTTGATAAAAATTCTGATGTAAATGAATTCTGTTTTATTTTGCTCAAATTAGAATCTAAAAATAAGTCTGACAGAGGAATGCATGTGAATTATTTCAGGTATATTTATTCCCTGAGGAGAATATCATGTGTTTCTCAGACACGTTATGGGACTGGGTTCGCCTGGTAGTGATAAATGCTGCAGGTTTAATTGTAACAATTAGAGCTTAAAGGCGGCAGGCATCGTGGTGCCTAAGTAAGATTGCATGGTCTGTTGTCGGAAAGTGCACTTCACATTTGTTCAGAGTCCGAGTTAGCTCCTCAGACACGTCTGTAGCTGTGGCACAGAAGAGACTGTTTGGACACCAAGCGGCTATCATTAAAAGACCTGACATTCCGAGATTTACAAATGCTCTCTTCCTGTAGCATGAAACAGGTTCATGGGTCTTCCTACTCCTAACACTGCTGAACACAGTGTTTATTTAAGATAATTTATTTCATTCTTTGTATTATGTAATCATCATGTTGCCTTCTGGTTCAAGTAACTGAAATGACAGACACTTTTCCACTTATCTGGGACAGGGCTCTTGGTAACAATTTCACAGTTGCTAAATTAGCAATAAAATGAGCTTAAAATGTATCTGGTATTGATTACTTTATAATGTGTTTCTATAATTCTTCTGAAAATGCTAGGTTTAATATATATTGGGGTGACAAATTATGTTACAGTATAGTATTTTACAGTCGAGAAGAATCCAGATTTTAAAATTCTGTAAAATTAGAACATTCTAAAATTACACAGAATGTAGCAGTGATAGTTACTCTGCCGACTTAGTGTTTGAAATCTGGGCATCGTAGAGATTTTTAACGTTAAAGAGCAAATTGCTCTTTAATTAGTCAAGATACATGTGACTAAACGTGCACGTAAGCTGTCTGCCCTGTATGTGGTATTAAAGGCTCCCTGTGCGGTATTATATACCCCACGTGATAGTATATGCGCCCTGTGTAGTGTTATACGCTCCCTGTGTGGTATTATATACTCCTAATGAGGAATTATATACCCCACGTGATAGTATATGCGCCCTGTGTAGTGTTATACGCTCCCTGTGTGGTATTATATACTCCTTATGAGGTATTATATACCCCACGTGATAGTATATGCGCCCTGTGTAGTGTTATACGCTCCCTGTGTGGTATTATATACTCCTAATGAGGTATTATATACCCCACGTGATAGTATATGCGCCCTGCGTAGTGTTATACGCTCCCTGTGTGGTATTATATGCGCTCTGTGTGGTATTACTTACTCCCTGTGTGGTATTATATGGGTCCTGTGTGGCCCATGTGGTATTATTGTTTTAGTTGAAGTTGAGAATATTTTACTCAGTGATCTTTCACTAGTTAACTGTAAACTTGCATTCTGCCTGTTTCTACTTATTTTTATCATCCTGAAGATGATCTCTGACCTTTTCCATGAGTAGGTAGTGCTTTAGACAATCTTCCACAGGCACTTGTATTCAACTTACCATATTTCAGTGGTAATTATTATATTCCATGAAATAATTGAATATTCCATGATGCAACAGCTCCACGTAAGTCTGTAACCACGGAAATGGTGTCGTGAGCCATTGGCTTTTCGTGATTGAGGCGCAGTGCCCAGAAGAGCCGTCCTGGTCCTTTGGCTTCCACCACCCTGAGCCCAGTGGCTGACTGCAAGCTCTTCAGAAATTCCCGGCTCACAGCAGAAACCCATTTGCATTATAGTAGCTGAGGCAGGCTGACACTTTTCAAAACAGTGTAACACAAGTCTGAAAGAACACAGCACACAGACAGGAAGCTGTGTTTACCAAAGTGCAGATATCTGAGCCAAAGATTCAGAGCCATGAAAAGCTTGATAGGAAGTCACATTCTCCTTTCAAGCCCTTTCCTCCTCTGTACAGGAAGGCAATCATTCCTTGGCCACCTTGTCCCTTGCCTGCCTCCTTCCCTCGAAAGTGTTGCTAACATTTTAGCTAAGTGGCCCATGACTTCCACTTTCTTTGTCTGATTCACAGAGAATCTTTCTCCAAAACCCAAATCAAAGAAGAGTGCATGTAAATATGTGTTTTCTTTTCCTTCTTCAAGTCTCCCGCTCACCCTGAAGTCATACAGAACAGCCCTGCTGTTTTGTCACCATTTGCAGGAATGTCCTTAGTTTTTCCTGAGCCTTTCCTGCCTGTCAGACACTCCTCTGAACATTTGGCAGGCAACGGTTCACATAGTCTTCAGCACAGCTGATAAAGGTTTTGTCTCTAGCCCACTTGTTACTAGGAGACACTGGAGGCCCAGAGGTAGGTAACTTGCAGGTGTAGTGGCTCTGGGCTTCAGATCCATGTGGCATGTCCAGCCAGCCCTCCTCGCCAGGGAGCTGCAGCCATCCAGCTCCCAGAGGCCGAGTGGGTGCTGTGTCCCACATGGAGTGTCATCTTGCAGGGGAGCTTCGAGTCATCTTTGCTCAGTGCTTGTGTCTTTGATTAGTGTGGATTATACATAGCCAAAGATGGTGAAGTCCTGGTTTGAAACGGCTGTGTAATTAATTATCAAAGACTTGCTTTGTGATTAACACACAGGAGTTTTAAGATGTGGATTTTAGGGACAGGTAAGTCAAATGATGATGATTTTTCTTTAACTCCCACACAGGCTTCCCTCATTGACTGTGGTTCCTGTTTTTCAAGTGTGTTCTTACTAATAGTAGAACTATGTGAATTGCCATTTTGGTGGGTCACAATTGTTTGACTATCAGCAATTTCGCTTTGTGCTTTATCTGGATAGAATTAAATTCGACACATGTGAGCCTTTTTGAGTTGCTGTATAGGAAGAACAGCATGGTGGGCACAGTCTGCCCCAAAAGTGATGTGATTTGAGTGGGTGTTCCGCTGGGTAGGGTTCCAGGCCTGCAGGGTTCCACCCTTTGCTCACCCAGTGCCGCAGGCAAGGTTCTGCAGAATTGTCCCACATCAGACGACTCATCATATGTGCTTTAATTGCAGTCTTACTACACAGCCTTAAATTAAGAAATTTGAAAAATAAGAAGTCCAGTGCATAGTTAACAGACACCATTTTATTCCTCCTGTCATGTCCTGTTTGCTCATGTGCTTTCCAGTTCAGCCCCTGAAACACGGGCAGTATCCCATGGTCATTGTAAAGCAAGTGGATGAAGCTTCAGGGCCATCTCCCATGGCGATTTGCAGGGGGACAGCACCTGTTCCCCTTCGCTCTGTGCGCACCTGTCCCGTAAGCCCTTGGTGTTGGTCCCTTGTGGGCACACGCACAGCAGTCTTTTTGTCCCATCTGGTATTAGAGACTGTCTTGAAGGACAGAAAATGAGTTATCCATTTTTCTGTCACCTGCAAACATTATCTTGGGTGTAAACATGTTTGTTGACTTAAATGTCAGTAAATTCATTTGTTTTAAAGTCTAAAATCCAATATTATGTATTTTCACATAAAATGAAAGATAATGCATATTAAAAAAATACATGTCAATGGAAGCACAAGCCTGAATGTGTGGCCTAGGTCTGGATCACACTAACCACTGCAGTGGGTTTTATTTGGCAGTTTGCGTGTGAACTTGGACATGGGCAAAGCGGTGTACGGGTGGATGATGATGAAGGACGAGAACATCCCTGGCACAGTCGTCCGGACCAGCACTATCCCGGAGGAACTGGGGCGCCTGGTATATTTACTGACAGACAAAACAGGTACTATTCATGTCCGTGTTCACCTGTGACTGGACCAAATAAATGGCACTTCATAAGAAACAGCAGAGTAGCATAGAGACGGGTGTTCCTGTGTGTGCTAGAACACCTCATCCAACCCGTATAGCATAGAGACGGGTGTTCCTGTGTGTGCTAGAACAGCTCATCCAACCCCGTATAGCATAGAGACGGGTGTTCCTGTGTGTGCTAGAACACCTCATCCAACCCGTATAGCATAGAGATGGGCGTTCCTGTGTGTGCTAGAACAGCTCATCCAACCCGTATAGCATAGAGATGGGCGTTCCTGTGTGTGCTAGAACAGCTCATCCAACCCGTATAGCATAGAGATGGGCGTTCCTGTGTGTGCTAGAACAGCTCATCCAACCCGTATAGCATAGAGATGGGCGTTCCTGTGTGTGCTAGAACAGCTCATCCAACCCGTATAGCATAGAGATGGGTGTTCCTGTGTGTGCTAGAACAGCTCATCCAACCCGTACAGCATAGAGATGGGCGTTTCTGTGTGTGCGAGAACAGCTCATCCAACCCGTATTTGGAACTTCTCAGCCTCTGCTCTTGAAAACTGTCACACAGCTTAATCGTCTGCTAGTATACACAGTATCATAAGAATTATCAAAATGTTAAGTTCTTAGAGCTTTAAGTAACATATTTCTGTGTTTTTAATTTTCTACAATCTTGCAGAGTTTTAGAAACTGCCTTTATAACCCCTCCCTAGTGGCTTATTAAGAGCAAAAATTGTATGTTTGTTTATTATAGAATGATACTTGTGAGCTACTAGAAGAAAATGACAGATATATTAACATGGTATTTAACACTCACATGGACTAAAAAGCTTTACTACGGACAGTTTAGCCCACTTTAAAGCTCTGGGACCAACATTCTGTATGTCCTTATTTAATTTTCTTTTTCTTTTTTTTCATCAAAGAACTCTTAACCAATCCGTAACAGACTAAAGGCAAACACATGGAATCTGGTACTACAGATTTCCTTACAAGGAAAGCCACATCCAAGGGTTAAAATTCCTCCTTGGTTTATGGAGTCATAATTTTAGTTCTTAGTGAACTAAAAATAAAAAAAATACTTATATAGCATGATAAACAAAATATGTTGCAAACAAAATTCAACTCAATTTTTATTATTAAATAGTAAAGTCCTCACTATAGGCAGCAAGAAGACAGAAATCTGCAAACAAGACTTATTTAAAATTCGTACGGGAAGCTCTAGCTATTGCAGCAAGACAATAAAGAGAAGTAAGATGTAAGGAAGAAACAAATATTTTCAGACATAGCAAAAGGGGCAGGTTACAGATTAAAATAACAAAATGGGTCTCTAATACATAAGTGGAGAATAGACTGAAGGGTAAAGCTCCCACTCAAGGGCTTACCTGCATAGAGGACACATAGGCAAGAGCCTGAGGAATGATTGGAGAGGGTGCACAGGCGGCCCCCAACTTCACAGTGGTTCAGCTTGACGATGGTCAACAGCAATAGCATCCGCTCAAAACTGTCCTTCTCTCCATGCAGCCGTCCTGTTATTCACTTCAATACAGTATTCAGTAAATTACACGAGATACTCAGCACTTATAAAATAAGCTTTGTGTTAGCAGATTTTACCCATAACATAAGGGTTCTGACATGTTCAGGTAGACAGGGCTAGGCCATCGTGTTTAGAAGGTGAGATGCATTAAATGCGTCTTGTACCGAGGATGGGTCTATTGAGATACAACCCCATCATAAGTTGAGAAGTCTCTGTTTTGGAAGTCAGACTGCTGTCTCAAAAGTAGAAATTCAGTATTCTTTGTGTCAGCTTTTATCATGGGACTTTGTTAGTTTAGTGTAATTGAAAGTTCGGTTGTTGGATTTGTGTTTGAGTTCCGTTAGACTTTGTCTCGTGAGAGGGTGAGGAACTTGACCATGAAGGCAATGCTTACGAATCCCAGTGACTCAGGGAACAATTTGAGGGGCTTCTGGTTCAAAAAGGTAGATGAGAAGGTGTGTTAGGATTTTCCTTTCCCAGCCTCGTGAAGGCTACAGAAAAATGTTTAAAGGATAAATAAATCCGTGAGAATACATAGAAAACAAACAGGAGTAAAATTATTAGAGGATCCAGAAGTTGAGTTATTTCTGGGAAACAGCTGGAATCAGTTTGCAGGCGATAGAGCAAAGCAGACCAGAGCTGCCGTGGCTGCAGAGGAAACCCCACGTGGGTGAGAAATGTCCTGCAGAACCAAGGGGTGGAGGAGCCCCAGATTGGGAGCTGACAGGTGTGTGGGGCAGCACGAGAAGCCAGGAGCTGTCACGAGTGGTGCCTTTGAGATCAGGTGACCGCCAGGATCTGCTCAGGCGCTACCTGTGAGGGCTGGTTTCGCAACGTGGAGGGGCTTTTGGGGAGAAGGACTCACTGGCTCATGTGCCCTGCCCCTTACGCAGAGTTCACAGACAGCCCTTGATTCAGAAAACAGCCCTTGGGAGGAGCAGGTCTACGGAAGTGCAGAAGAAACCCACCCCACCTTACTCTCTGATCAACTGAGTCTTTACTGATGAAATAGAATCAGAAATGAAGTCAAAGTAGCACAGTAGGAACAACCATACTGTTCCCAAAGAGGAGAAATTCATAGGGAAAGCAAAAGACATGCAAGAAAATGTTCAGAATTGTAGACAGTGGGTTCCTATGCACGAGCTCAGTGTCCAGATTAAACTGCACTTCTGTGTGTCAGCAGCAGTTAGGGCATTAATACCAAACACTAATCAGAATAACAAAAAGCATCAAATCAAATGTAAACAAAAATACGTAAGACCGAGGTGGATAGAAGCTTTTAAAATGTGAAAGCCCTTAGGATCTAAATTGGTAGACATGCTAGCTTCATGAACAGGACATCTTAGAGTAATAAAGGTATCATTTCTTCTCACATGGAAAGATCGGATGTGTTTGCAAGCCTAAGTGGAATCAGAAACTCCTGTTCAGTCTGGTGGGAACTTCAAGTTAGCGCATCACTTGGTAACACATTTTGGCATTATCAGTCACATGGAACAGGCACGTGCTCTACTATCCAGCTATTCCCTAAAGAAATGTTTTCACATCTACACTAGAACACAGACATAAGAGTATTCATAGCATTGTAATGGTTAACAAAAGCAAGCACTGTCTAGCTAGAACACAGAAAAGGATATCAAAAGTAGAATGGACCAGTGAATTGGGCACCGTTCCTACAGTTGAATACTAAATAGCATTGACAGTAGAGTACAGATACCGACAGAAACATGGATGGATTCCAAAATAGAACGTTCAAGAGCTGAGAACAACATAAGAAAAATGCAATAAGGTTTGTCTATATAAAGATGAAAAGCATAAAAGACTAAAACATTTAATACTTAGAGGACCATGAAGGGTGAAGCTGTGAGTAAATGCAAGCGGTAACGAAGCGTGTAGAGCAGTATGAATCCAAGGAAGCTGCCTTATCTACCTTCATTAGTATTAAGCGAAATAAACCTTAAAAAAACGTTATTTAAGAAAGAGGGTCACTATATAAAAGGTTCAATTCAAAATGTTTGTGTATGTAATAAAATCGCTTTAATACTTAAAGCAAGAATTGATAGATGGAGAACTTGCTTATTTTCTCTCAACCACGGGAAGAAATAGACAAATCTTTTGTTTATTGATAAGCCAAGCAGGCAGTTTGGAAGATTTGAATAGCATAATCATCAGTGTAGATCTTAATGGACATATTTATCTAACAGCTAGAGAGCACATGTTCTTATCCGACACGGATGAGAACGTTGTGAAGGTTGGATACATGCTAGGCCGTGAGTCCAGTTTCAGCAGATTCCAAAGAATGGACGGTCCTGATCACAGTAAAAAGAGAGAAGAGACTCTGATAACAAAGAAACACGTTTTCAGTCTCTGCATTTTTAGCAATGGAAGAATATACTTCCAAACAGCATAGCTCCAAAAGGAATTCATACAAACTCAAAATGCCTGGAGCTGAGTAATAATGTCATCACTTTCTGTTAAAGCCCATGGAATGCACAAAATCAAGGCTTTATAGGAACTTTGCTTCACTTTTTTAAACAGAGAGACAAGACAGCCTAAAAATTCATCATCCTAATGGCCAACTTAAGAATAGTAAAATAAAGCCGAATAAATACAAAGAAAGAAGATTTCAACAGAAAGCAGTGACTTGATAAAAACTATCAAGGATTAATACATCCTGTCAGACTTTTGAAAAGATAGCAAAATAAACACACTTTTAAAATTGTGATCTTTAAAAAGTAAGCAAAGGTGGGCTGGGTGCGGTGGCTCACGCCTGTAATCCCAGCACTTTGGGAGGCTGAGGCGGGTGGATCACCTGAGGTTGGGAGTTCGGGACCAACCTGCCCAACATGGAGAAACTCCATCTCTACTAAAAATATAAAAATTAGCCAGACGTGGTGCCATGTGCCTGTACTCCCAGCTACTCAGGAGGCTGAGGCAGGAGAATCGCTTGAACCTGGGAGGCAGAGGTTGGTTGATTCATGAGGTTCAGGGAAAGAAGCCATGTGTGCAGCATAAAAGCAAAGGTGAAGCAGCAGGTGCTGGTGGGGAAGCTGCAGCAAGTTCCCCAGAAGATCCAGCTGAGAGCATTGATGTCAGTGTAGCCAGAACGGCCTTCTATTGGAAGATGATGCTATCTAGGACTTCCATAGCTAAAGGGAAGTCAGTGCCTGGCTTCACAGCTTCAAAGGACGGGCCAGCTCTCTTGTTAGGGGTTAATGCAGCTCTTGAGTTTTAGTTGAAGCCAGTGCCCATGTGCCATTCTGAAAATCTTAGGACCCTTAAGAATGATGCTAAATCTACTCTGCCTGTGCTCTTTGGAACAACAAACCCTGGATGGCAGCACATTTGTTTACATCATGGTCGACCAAACATTTTAAGCCCATGGTTGCGACCTACCACTCAGAAAAAAGATTCTTTTCAAATATTAGTGCTCATTGACAAAGCTCTGATGC